CCAACAACTGCAATATGGCACTTTGAAATAATGCTCAAATAAGGGCATTTGTGGAAAGAATACAAGATGCATGTCAAATTTCTGTACACTAATAAAATTTATAAATCACTAGTCCATTTAAAGACTTTTCTTTAGAATAAAATAAACTTACTGAAAGTGAGATGCAGTCAAAACACAATCCTGTCATACAACCATAATATATACTGCTCAAAAAAGGAACACTTGATAATCACAGTACAACACCAAGTCAGTTAAACTTCAGGGATATCAATGGGTCCATTCAATGTCAAGTATGACCGGTTTAGTGGTGGGTCAGTGATGGTCTGGGAAGACATATCCTTGGAGGGCCACACAGACCTCCATGTCATAACCATCAGTACCCTGACTGCTGTGAGGTACCAGGATGAAATCTTCAGAGCAACTGTCAGAACATATGCCAGTGCAGTGGGCCCTGGGTTCCTCCTGGTGCAGGACAATGCCAAGCCTCATGTGGCTAGTATGTGTAGGCAGTTCCTGGATGACAGAGGCACTGATGCCACTGACTGGCCCTCATATTCCCCTGACCTAAATCTAACTGAGCACCTATGGGACAAGCACCTATGGGACATTACGTATCAGCGCATCTGACACCAACAAGTATGACCACAGACTGTCCACTGATGCCCTGACCCAGATCTGGGAGGAGATCCCCAGGGCAACAGTCTGCCAACTCATCAGGAGCGTGCCCATATGTTGTCAGGAGCATACACTTCTGAGTCACATTATGAGTTGCTGTGATGAAGCATAAACATAAACTTTAATATGAAATTCACACAACTTGGATGAGCCTGTGATTTCAATTCTTCACTTTGGTTTTCAGAGTGATTTTTAATACAGCCCTTCATGGGATATGTAATTACTTATGTAATTTTGTTCTGAACAAATTACAATGTACATTAGTAAAGGATTTCAACTTGAATAATTCAGTCATCAAGAGCCAATTTAGTGTTCACTTATTTTTTTGAGCAGTATATAACATTTTATATTATAGACTTTTCATTTTCATTTAACATCAGCAAATGTTTTATTGAAATATGGTGATATCTACAGATGTATAAAACCCAATATTTAAAGAGGCAGAGGTGATGTACTGTTTAATTAAAACATTAATCTTAATTTTACCTTCAAACACACTAATGGACCCACAGCAAATATTTCATTTGACCATGAGACAAAAACTCACCTTCCAAAAGGAAAGCAGTTCTCCTTGGGATGGCAACAGACATTGATTGGCCAGTTACTTTGAAAGCCATGCTGCTAATAGCTGAGATGACTGGCTGGTCTCGCATGCCTGGTGGGGCTTCACGTCTCCAAAACCTAGGAACAAATTTCCAAATAGGGATTGTGACCACATATTCAAAATCTACAAGATTACTAACAAAATATCAAACCCTAATAAAGTGACACCATAGCTCTCCTAGGATGAAAATTATAACAGCCTTGAGCCATCGCTGCTGATTGACACAAAATGCACTGCAGCTATACCCAAGCCCACACAGCTCAGCTCCCAAAGTATCCTCAATAAAATGGTGGAACAAGTGCAGAAACTCTCACCATCATTTGGACTGCACTTGGGTAGATGTGAACTTTAAATTGATGCAGTACTTAGGTTGTGACTGATGACCATTCACAAGTCCACAATAACACAGAAAGAGAAGAACTCAATGAGAAACCCTCTATGGGTTGGTAACAAAAAAAGCTGATATAGCAAACATGTGTTCAAGTAAAAGCAAATGCTGATAAAGGAATAAGTTAAAAGTTAAAAATCACCAGTTCTCTTTAAACGTCACACTGAGTGCGTTTACATAGCCATGAATTTTCTGGCTATGATCAGGGTTTTGAAGTAATGTGTTTTTGTAGATATAGTTGTTGCTGAGGTCAGCGCGCTGTATATACCATAGATGTATATGGACTGCTCTGCAAGTGGATAAAGTTAATGCTAGTTTATAAACTCTGACGCTGAATATCTGCCCCCTCAGTCCAGGGGAATATCAATAAACACAAATGGGAAACCTGATCAGTCCGATCAGTGTGATTAGCAATCCAACGGATTCATTTCGAACATTTACTGGTGCTGCTGAAGCAGCAAGAGAGGGTCAGGAAGAGAGAGATGTAGGAGGAGGGCAGCAGCCAATCTGCTAGCTATACTGTGTATTTACACACATACACCACAAAACCCACACCCAAAACAAAAGCCACAAAGGGGCTCAAAGAGTCAGCAGCCTTTCCATCACTCACAATGGTTTTGATTCTTTTAAAATAGTCCAGTATCCAAATTATGATATGGGTCAGCACAATAATTTAAATAAATAACTAGTCCATGGCCCTTACCCTACTCCCCCAAAAAATTTACTTTTTGAGTTGTGTTGTTAATAAACAAACGCTGGCCTTGTGTAGAAAAGTCGAGATGTGTTTCCCCTGTTGAAAACTCAGTTTCATGTAGCCCCCCTCAGTGGTTGAATTTGGGATAATGCCAGGGCGCTCTACAATGTTCTACAGCAGTGGTCCCCAACCCCCGGGCCGCGGACCGGTACCGGTCCGTGGATCAATTGGTACCGGGCCGCACAAGAAATCATTATTTCCGTTTTATTTATTATCTGAGTCTGAACGATCTTTTATTTTGAAAAATGACCGCATTCTCTCGGTTACATCTCGGTCACTTGAGCGCCAAAACTGGCTTACTTGTGGACATATTCAGCCTGCTCAATGAACTCAATCTGTCACTTCAGGGGAAAATGACAACTGTCTTCAAGTTGGCAGATAAAGTAGCTGCATTTAAAGCCAAACTGGATTTGTGAAGGATTTTTTTTCAATAAAGAATATCAGAATTTCCGTATGTCCCGTTCAAATACATGGAGGAGATGCGCGATGAGGCAGCACTTTGCTGTGCCTCTCGGTGAATCGTGTAATCCTCACAAACTGTATGCGATGCAAATAGTGTGTCGCTGTCCCTCTATATATCACAAATAAAATGCTTTCAAACACTCTGATTATATGCTCTGCCTTGCCATAATCTGGATAATGTATAAAATGTAGTTCTGTAACGTGTTTAGGCTCCAGATTAACCATAAAACCCAGTAAAAAAGTTACTCGGTGAGGCAAACAGTACGCCTTTTTTTATTTTTGTCCAGAAGGATCTTCTTTATTGAAAACATTTGTTTTAATATTGGATTCGAACGGTAAAAAGGTTTGTAATAAATACCAGCTGACAAATGGATTTCGTGTACAAGTAAAGGTAAGACCATAAACTTTTATTATTTCTAGTTAGAAATAAGCTCAATTGGAATAAATTTTAACCTCAAATTAAATATGGGTCACGTTTGTGTGAAGAATGCTGATATGAGATATAAAACAACGCATTTTCTGTTAACAGACAATTTGTATTTGTAAATCTGACTGTAAAAGAGTTAGTGCCTCACCAGCTGTCAACCTCACCTCACGTCACTGGTAATAAGTATAGTAAATGTCTGAGCGGTCATGTTCAGTATTTACCACAACAAAATACTTCACATGATGGCAATGCCCTCTGTTTGACAAGAATGTTCGTCAGACACGCTGCTGTTCCAATGTGTAATAAATCTGAAATGCTACATAGATTACTTGTAAATATAGATTTTGTTGGAAAAAAACAAAGTTGCCTCACTAGCTCGTCTTACACTTACTTCTTCCATGACTCAAAACTGCATTTTCTGACTCAAACGTCTCTTGTTCCTACATTACTCACACGTGTAACGCTAACTTACACACCTAAAATGTTGACAAACCCGCACCATAAATTGTATACAGATGTACACTCAAATCGAGCAACGCTACAAGCAAATAAAGTCCTACTTGCATACAATCCTGCTTCCGTCCTGGGCAGACGTGAAGTCGGAGAACAGCAGAGCACTTAGCATGCGGCAGCGGTGGATGAAGTTTTCGCCAGAGGAACTCCAACTGGCTCTTCCGGTCACTGGTGGCGCTACCTGGCCTAGTTTATCAAAAGTTAGTTTAGTTTATGTAGTTAGCTATAGTCACATAAGCTAAATTTAAACAAATTACTGCTTGGCCGTGCTACTTAATTAATGCGGGCATCCTAAAGCTAAGCATTTAGCATCGTTACTCCTGCTAGCTAGCTTAGCGGCTAACAGCTAATGCTACACATTTTCATGTACTCACAGATTTCGGTCTTGACACACACGCGCACTAGCGGCTATTCTAATTAATTTACATTAGGCAGTAAAATTACGTAATATTGTGTTACCCTACTGCTTACTACTTTGCCTAAGTTTATCCAAACATTATCCAAGCAACAATGTTCACCGTGCCTACACGGACTATTTGTCTTCTTCACCTGTTCCCAATCACAACAGCTGTCACTGATGCTCTGCCCAATGAAAACATAAAGAGTTGAACCATGATATTGATTCTTATTGTTAAAAGCAGCATGAAGATATCCTACCCATGCTACCTATAGGCTACTTCTAAATCGATGTGAAGCACCATAGATGTATTCTATACATGTGTTGGATCAATATTTTTGGTATAGGTCCTACTGACAATAGCATGGATACTCCTAACAGGACATCAGTATTGATAACAGGACACTAGTATTGATATATTCGGGACTGAGTTGCAGTAGCATGACTTTGACACAGTATTTTACATGCATCATCATATGAAAATCTTGGGTTAAGTTGGAAGGATGTCAAACAGTTTTGGTTCAGAATGAGGGGGAGTTTATGTTCTTTCCATGAAAATTAAGGTTAAAAATATTGGTCATACATGCAAGTGGCTGGATACAACGTATCAGCCTGCAGGTTATAGAGCTCTAGAAATGTCAGAAAAAGAGATTTTTCAGCAGCCAAAATTATTAATGTTGAGCACTGGAGGCATCCATTTCTTTTTGTGAGTCATCATCTTCTCCCCTCCTTTATCTTTCACTGCCATTTCTCACCCAAAACATCCAGTACCTTCTTCACATCTCTCTGCAGGATTGAGGACAGAGCTGGTGGCAGGATGAAGCTGATGAAAAGCGGCGTTGTGAGCCATCCCAGCTCTCCTATGTGCTCTAAGAGCCTCTTTACAACTCACTGAGCCCAGAAAGTTAACAGACCCTGGCAGGCATGTGAATAAGGAGGTGCAACCCAGATCTCCCAGTTAGTTTCTCTCTGTGACAGTGGTGTAAACGCCAGGGCTTAATTGGGCGACTAGCTATGGAACAGCTTGATTTTCATCAGGCATTTATCAATGCTCAAAGCGCCATGACTTCGAGTGGGAGTGCTTGAGCAGGGCCTCATACAGATCACAGATACAAGGGAGGCATGAAGATTTTACACCCTCAGTGGAACTGAACGAGAGGTAAGAAGTGGTGTGCTGGTTGAGCATTACATTCTACTTAAGCTGTTTTTGTTGATTGTATGCTTGTTTGTTCTAATTAGAGGATCACAAGTGAAAATGAGAAAAACAACTGTTATTGGACTGATCTGCTGCATCTAACCATTCAGCACTCTTGAACACTAGTAATTAATGACCAAATGCATGACCACTGCTTGTGAATGTTTTTCTTTTTCACAACTAATAATGCCCTGCACTTACAGTGTATATGTTTTAGATTTAATTACATCTTCATCTTCTGCTGCAGCACAGGCTTTAACCATCCTCAAACTAAACCCATACAACAATCACTAAATGCGTCATACTCGTGCCTCGATCTTTTGTATGGGTGGGTTTGTAAATGTAAATGTGAGCTGACATGGTTCAGACAGTGAGCTTATGACTATTAGTCAGACTGACAGCTGTGCTCCAGGGGAAGAATTAGAAAAAGAGTCAAATGCTGAAGAGTGAAACTAGTTATCCTGCTGACATGCTTTTTATAGCAGATTTCAAAGCTATAAGCTTATTCATTCTATTAACCACTTTTAACACCCTCTCCTCGCTTCTTGTTTTCTAACATTTGGTATGATGCTGTTGTATCTATCCATCCATCCATTATCTATACCGCTATACTGCATGAGGGCTTTTTACATTTTTGTATTGGTCAGCAACACATGTTAGCTATGGCTCAGATGTATGCACTTGTGTGATTTTGTTGTCAGACTTTCTTCAATTACTTTTTCCTGATCCAAAGTGATGCTTTGCATTTTTTTTAAATTTACAATTTAAAGCCAAACAGGAAATGGATTTTTGCAGCATGCCAGCAGAGCTCTATGCTCCCTGCATTAACTACACACATGTCCTCCGAAGCCTTTCATACATTAGAAAGTGTCTTTCAGTGCCACAGTGACCTGAGGGATGAGGTCAGTGAGATTTGATTAGTATTTTATCACTTCACCTAGAGGAAAAGCAATGTTACACACTCTAGGCTCAGTGCAAGGAGTAGCATACTGTATGTTTCTGTATGTGTCCACATTTGCCATATGAGAGTGCATTTGAGCCTTAATTCATTGCTCATACTCATGAATGGAACTCATGCTATAATGAGTGTCAGCTTTACTTGTTTTTCCTCAACACTTATAGTCACCCTGAGGGGTATGAATAATAAATGTCAGATAGGTACGTCTGAATGGTTGATGAGGAAAAAAAAAACACTCATAAAACATGGAACAGGCTTTTATTATCATCTTAATTTCAATCTGAAATGCAGTTCACACTTGCTTCAGTGTGAATAATTGTTGTTAGCACTTTTACCTAAACAGCTTTTACCCTGCATACATGTCTTGACATTTCAAACACACACATAAATGAAAGAAACGGGGAAGTGCATTCTTGTACTTCTTGGTTTACCCATGACCACATAAGGTCATGCCACTGTCTTGTGTTTTTCCTTGTGGGGGCTGTCTATCAGATGATTGTCTTTGTAGGAAACAACGGTCAAATTCTGCCTGTCAGAGATAATGGCACTGCAGTCATTGTGTACAGTAGCATTAATCTCCCTGAAAAGAATAGTTTAGCTTTTTGGAACATATGTTTTGGTTTTTCCCCTTGGTGTTTCTTGGAGTCTCTGCATGTTGGCTGCTGTGCAAGAAATTGTCTGGCACATAAGGTTTTAAGTCTTTTTTTTTTTACAGATTAAACAAACAAGCTATAATTAGTAAGTGAAATGCTGATAGGTGGCTCTCCCTCTTTTATATTTATTTATTTTTGTATGAATCTTCCAATTTTGACTGATTTTCTGACTAACTTTTGTTTCCCACAGTGTCTCATTTTACTCCATTTGTATTTTTGAAAAGGAATTTAGATAGTCCCCACTGAATAAAATCAAGTAAAATACTTCCTTTACTGAAGACTGGCAGGTTATCTTTTATTTATTTATTTATGCAGCAGAATAGACCAGTAATGTTCTTCACAAGCCAAGAAAGAAATGTTTAATGCAATGTTTAGTCCCAGACTGCAGCTTGTGTCATATGATAACTATGCTGAAATTATTACATAATTAAATGTTAAAATAGCACTGGCTGGCCTCATACTGTAGTTGGAATGTGCCATTATGTGTCCCTGTGAAAGCTTTTAGGTTTACATGCCAACCAATAGCTCTTTGACGATGGCTTTTCTTAGGAGCAAGAAGCATTTCCATATATAGACTAATTATTTCTTTCTTCATCTTGCTCACTGCTTGTTTTCACAGTGCTGGGCCCAAACATTTTATAGGACTGAATCACAGCTAACGTCTGACTCTGGGGGTGGGGGTGGTTTCTTTATTAGTATGCTATTTCTAGACACTTGTCAGATTCCAGTACAGCAACCCTGTAGTCACTTTTCATTAGCACTCTCAGTCAAAAGCTCCTGGAGTGTGCTGTGTTAGGTTCATAGTCACTCACATTTCACTGTACAGTATGTGGTGTCTGTGATGGCAGAACCAGTAGGTTGTAGTTATTTGTAACACTCTTTTGCACAATCCACTAGTTCTATGAGGCTTTATAATGCTGCTGGTAATGTGAGAGTCACTTTTCTCACTATCTTGATTATATGATCAGTGATCCAGCATGAGCTCAGTAGTCTTTCTTGTATTGTAATTTGTTTAGCCACAGACACGAGCTGGACAGAGGGCTATATTGTCTGTGCTTTCCCACTGAGGTGAGCTTCACTGAGAGTAAGGTTTCCATAAGCCAAGTGGGAGCTCTGCCCATTATAACACATGGTTGATGCAGTAATGGAGAGTGAAGTTGGAGGGTGGGGAAGGGACGGTATAATGAGGTACTTATAATATAACAAGTCTCCATCAAGGAAATGAAAACATGAGGCAGCCACTGCAGCCTGATGTTTTTAATTTACAGTTTGCTTGAAAAGACATATTGTTACATTAGATCCAACAGCTTTTTTCATATCATTCCTTGTGTCTGTTGCATGTAGAATGGAAGATTTGCAAATGACCCTTGCAGAATGATCTGACTTTCATGGAAGGAACAGATTATTTCTACATGCAGGAACCTTGCAATGGCAGTCAAAAGCAGCCCATGGATAATAATATTGAAATCATTTTCATATAAAAAAAGGATTTCCATCAAGGAAAGTGCTGCTACACTGAGGTCATTAATCAGAACTTACTCACAGTGACTGGGCATTGTAGTGCCTCAACAACAGCTGGGTTATAGTTTCAGTGAGTAGCACTATATGCCCTGCCAGGCAAATGGCACCCCATGTGCTGCTGTGTGCGCACACTTGTGTGTAGCTGTTTGCCTAAGCTGGCCCAGACACGCCTACATATAGACATGGTGAGGCTTGTCTCATCAATTTTCATGTAACCATGCCCTGTAGCTACAAAAAAAAAAGCCTTCAACTGGTCAGGAACTGTGTTTTTAAGACAAACTGTTTCAATCTACTGCAGCTGTAATAAATCATAAAAGAGCAGTGGTGATCTGATCATATTTCAGATGAAGGACATGCCATTTTTGCTTCTTTGTATCAGTATTCTTGTCTTGCTGTTTTCATGGCAGGAAAATACTGTAGAACACATCCAATGTGAAAGATTTCACTCATTGTTATGAAAAGACAAGTCTGCATTTTATGTATTATAAATGCTTGAACATCTGAAATTACAGACTAACCTTGAGAAAAGCAGCAGAGGCTGAGCCACTGACTAAAATTAAACTTTTTTTTTTTAAAGGAAATTGGTTATGTGACTGTTCAGGCAAACATTAACCACAGTGTGAGTTCAGCTGTATATTCAAAAGTATATACACACACACATTAAGGCACAAATTCCTTCTGCTAATGGAACGTTTTTTTTACTTGAATAAAAGTCTTCTTTTGCTAGACTGAACTGAAAGGGCATTGACCGCAATGCCACAAGGCACAATAACTGTGTTTGTGTGTGTGTGTGTGTGTGTGTGTGTGTGTGCACGTCACCACTGCACATGACCTCACTCTTTTATATCTTGCTTGCATCTGACTCTTTCACCTGGGGGTACAACACACACACTCACATTTTGACAGCTTTCACATCCACTTTCTATTCCCATATGGCGGTTCTGAGAAGGGTGGAGTGGTGTTTGAGAGGTAATTTAGTGTTATTATGCAAAACGGTGCCACTTTGCCTGCAACCTAAGTTGGTGGTGAAAGGTTTTCAGGTCAGTGAATGGAGGGGAGTCTCTCTTTTATTATCCAAACAGCGGGTATTTGTTTTGCTGCACATTTAAAATGATTCTCTGTCTGACATCATTCATGGCTTATGTAAGTAAAGTAACGCAACCACAAGAATTTAGTGTGCCATGCAGAAAACACATACTGTAAGCGCAGACAGAGGACCCATTCTTACACAACATGGGCTGGGTGAAGTGACGTTGCGACTAAAATGTGCACTCAGTGAGAGAGAGAGAGAGAGAGGAGGAAGAGGTGGAGGAGCAGGGGGACAGGAAGAGTAGAGTGCGAAAGAAAGAACAGAAAGTGAAGATGTCTGGGTGAAAGGGGGGCCAGAACACAGCAGAGGCCATATGCCAAAACAGAAACAACAGAAGTTTGAGCAGCCGACTGGATTAGACAGCAGGGGAGACCTGTCCTGCCATTTCACAAGTGCCTGCGGGGTAAGGTGCAACTCTCTTAAGAGATCTTGAGTGTGAGAAATGTGAAATGCTTTGAAATTGTTCGGAGTGGTTAAGCCATGTGATGCTTTTTTTTGCGTGGGACTCCGAGAAAACCAAGATAAAATTGCCATTACTATGTCAGACTACTTTTGAAACAGGATGTTTGACAAGTTGAGAGGTGCTACAGAGTGTCACTATAACATACTCATTTTATTTCTTTTATTTTTTCAATCAAACAGTGCCACTTGTCACATTTTCTGCACTTGCTTCACCAACCATATAGAAAAACCTTTGCTGGAGTGTTCAGTCAAACCTCTGAAAACTTTTTTACCTCAAGTGATTTATGTTTTTTAGTTTCAACTGAGAACTTCCTCCTCTTGCTTTTACCGTAAGAACGTCATCCGCTTTGCTCATATCACTTAGTCAGGATCAAGTTGACACAAGCCTGAGCTGTAATGTCCCAGTGCACTTGCTCACTGGGCAGAACTGAACTCCCCCAGATTGTCACTTAGAGATTCAAGAAAACAAACGCCTCTGACTCAAATCGTTTGTTTGCAGTTGAGTCAAGTGAAAATGAGCTTGTCGAAGTATTGTGTGTGTGTGATGGGGGATCCGCTCTGTGCGCTCTGGGTAAGTCGTTAAAGATTCCTGCCTCGCCTTCTGTCATAAGTTTGTCTTTTAGGTCACATACGTTGCTTAAAAAGCAGCAGGGGCTCACTGAGCGCAATCATAATATTTTTCTTAGACCCTTCCTGGCTTTGTGTGCCCCAGAAATGGACCTTTCCTGTATATGAATGGCTCAATGAGAGCACAAAGTCATGAGAAAGTGAAGTACCTACTGGGAGTCTTAGAATTCCATCCCAGTTAGATAACATTAAACAAGGAGTCATTTAAATTCTGGGACTTCATTTAAATATGTACAAGCATCTCTTGTAAAAGCGTGACTGCTCTTATAAATGCCCTCCTCTGTTTTGTACCATTGCTAAATCACAAATGTCATCGACAGTCATCATGTGAACACCTTCAGTTACTCATTTTTGACCCACTGAGAAAGAGATTCACAACACTGATGATCCAAGTGTTGTTTTTTTACATTTCCATTATAAAGGTCAGTGCTGTAGGTAGTTCATACTTCATAGCAACCTCTTTGTTACTATCATCACACTTTTTGACTTTTCCATTCCATTTAACGCCTTTACCACTGATACATTGCTAATCATCAGTTTTCTATAGCCCACACCTCTGTGCTGCTGCTGGCCTTTGTTTCTCCTACACACTTATTGCTTAGTGACTCCGGTTTGTATTGACAGTGTGTTCACAATGTGAATGAGATCAGATTGTACACAGAGGTGCTGCAGTTCAGCCAAGCTTATCACAACAACATGTACCTACAGCAGAGAAAATAATCACGAATAATGCGGCAGCATCACAGTGGCTTTCTGTGCACAGTTTACAGCGTAGTCTGTAGTCGAGCTTAATACAGATTTGAACCATATTTGCAGAAAGTTAGCAAAACAAAACTCGTGTTTCTGTGCATGATGCAATAGTGCATCAAGATAAATACTGGTGGAGTTAAATAAATCAACAGAATAAAACCAAGTTAGAGTAAAACAGAAGAAAAGGCAATGAGGGAAATGCCATGGCTACACAAAATATGGATGTGGTAAAACAACTCCACTTTTTTTTTTCGCAGTGTAGTTTTTTCGCAATAAGATGGCTCTTTCCAAACTTTCACACTGATGTATCAGGTGAATCTTGCTGCTTAGCTTTAAGCGCTTAACTTCCTTTTGAGCAAATGAACAGGAGGGAAGTCTGCGGGTAAACCAATTTCACACATGAGACGCAACGCATGTCGATAGCCATGGCAAATCTATTTGCTTTTCACTTGCAGGTGCCTCTTCCTCTCTCTCTGCCTAAGAAGCAGCCAAATGTGAGATGAAAATCTCTTCTTGCTCTTGCAAATAGAATACAAAGAAGCTCTGTAGCTGTGAACCATACAGACTCTAAGGCACATACTTGAGTCAAATGATGATATTATTTTAAAAACTGGTGTTTAATACCATTTAACACCCATATAGTCACATCTCGGAATTAAAGAATTAATTATACATTCATGAAAACATAGGCCAGACTTCATCTATGTCCTCTGTTGGGTACCATTAGCCAGGTATATTGAGGTGACTCTCCTTCAGCAGGTCTCTCTTTGGCCTGACACTCTCCCTTCTCTCTTTTTTTCTGACACTGTCACATACTCCATCTCAGCAGGACTCTTAGTGAGATTGGCTACCTCTATCGCTGTCTCACCTTCCCTCAGACAAAATCTCCCTCTCCCTTTCTCCCTCTCTTTCTCTCTGCTCCTGTCTTACTCAGTGGGACTCTCAGCGAGATCTGCCCTGAATTCTGAATGATTCCTCTGCAGTATTAATGAGGGGAAAGCTGAAAAAAAAAACTGAAGCTGACATTGATAAGAGGGGGATAGCAGATGTTAAAGACAGAGATGGAAAGATGGCTTGGAGGCAGGGAAAAGGGAAGATGCAGGAAGATGAACTGTCTGCTTGAAACTAAATGTCTGTCTATGTTCACATTCTCTTTTTCCCCACAGACACACCCAAATATAATGACCTTTGTGTATCTGGATTAAAATAAACCATCAGCCAGGAGGACAAGAGAGGACTCGAAAGGACAAAGCACAAGAATTCAATAAGTGGAGTTTCATGAGGTATAAACAAATTTGACTCAAGCGCAGAGTTTGGCTTTTTTCAGAATCATCGCATCTGGGTGATTTCAAAGAACATCATCTTATAAACAAATGAGCTTTTGGTCATTTAGATGTGTTTAAAAAATACTTTGGACTTCCATAAAGGGATATTTTAAGGAAGGAGGCATCCATGAAGTCAGGTGTGTCCATATAAGATAAACAATAAACCTGAACACATACACACACCTCATCAGATAGTGCTTTGTTACAAGGCAACTATCTAAACTCAGACCTTCATAGGTTCTGTGAAAGACGAACATGTTGGATGGTGGATGTTTTGCTGAACACTGCCAGTAAAACCTCTAAGTCTAAAACGTAAAAGCTGTAACCAGATTAGATAAAAGGAGTTTTAACTTTAATTAACAGCACATCTTAATTATTTTGGTGTCTCCAGCAGCCTGATATGCATATTCACTGTCTTATAAACTTCACAACTCTTTAAAGAACTTATTAAAACTTTGCAACTGCCACACAGACTCAATTGAAAGGAGCCGCAGCTCTGTATCCTAAAGTCATGGATGGGAAAACAGACAGCATCCAGGACTTTTTCATCTATCTCTGGAGCTATGTTACAGACAAACACAACCAGGGGGCATACAACACAGTCTGCCTGGTGGTCCTCTTAACCCTTCCCCTGCTGGTCTTCCTCACTACTTTGGTGGTGTGCTGCCACTGTTGCTGCTGTCGCCATGACAACAGCTGCTGTTGCTGCTGCTGCAGTGACACCATGGCAACCACAAGGTCAGAAACAAAGAAGAAAAAAAATTTGGCTACGACTGAAGACTTGTGGATTTCTGTCAATACGGGGCCTATGACAACTGACAGGATAGCCCTAGCCATGGTGTAGGGATGGCATTTTTATTGCGAGACTGCTGAGCCTGGGCCAGTTGGTGCAGCTGAGCATGTCAGAAGTGCAAAACTCAAAGTATCTTGGACTTGGAAGTAGACTGAGGACACCGTTTGAACTAGTAGGAAAGACTTCACATTGTAATGAGCATTGATTTGTTTGAAAACTGTTCTGATTTTTGTCATTTTGTCATGATGTTGTATGTGGAGATTTTATTACATTGTTTACAGCTTTTTGTATGAGCTTGTTAGTGTGTGGTACATAGTGGAAGGAATATGAAGAAATATGCAGACAGGAGCATATGTATGTGTGAGTAGGTTAGAGAGAGAGAGAATACAACTGGCTGAATGCTGCTATATTAACTAATTGTACTTTCAATAAATATGCAGACAGGAGCATATGTATGTGTGAGTAGGTTAGAGAGAGAGAGACTGTGTCTGTGTGTGTGTGTGTGAGAGAGAGAGAGGGTTTAGTGTTATTGAGAGGATTTTGTTCTTAGAGCTCCCATGTGAAATTCATTGCATCTCTGTTTGGGAGAGAGAGCCAATTTAAGGTCTGCCCAGTGGTCGGATGGCTGAAATGCTGCCTACTTTTCAAATTCAGGCTGCAATCCAGACTGGTGATTGACTCTCACTTTTTAAAGTACAAGGCACCAATGTCCAAAAAGTTTAGTCCCCCAGGAGAGGCACTTTATGGTTTTGGAGAATGTTTCTGTATTTCAGTCGGAAAAAAAACCCTTAAAAGTGCAATTTATAGTCCAAGTATAAAAAAAAAATTGAAATCTGTTATCTTTCACAATTACTGTAATTAACATACATTTTTATGTACTGATTAATACCAGACAGCAATTATATCAGGGAGTTTTGAGTCTGGGGCCTGTATTTTTTGAAATTTTGGACTTAAGTGAAATGTAAAATTAAAAATACTTTACTTTTCTCCCACAAACAAACTTAAATGCTATCTTTAAAATTTCTTGCAACTTAAAAATAGTCGTAAATTTAAGTGAGGTAAAAAAAATAATTGAACCTAAGGAACACATAGCTGAAGCAATATTTAGAATTTTGAGCAGGAGAGTTTTAGCCTACTATTTTCATTTTCATTAAACTTTTGTTATATTACATCGATCTTTTGTGCTAATTAGTGGTGGAAATGGTACAAATCAAGCTGCCATTAGTTGTTTGCAATCATTCTTCATGCATCTACATGGTCTCTGCTTGTCAACGGGCTACTACATTCTCCATATGACTTTTTTCTCTTATTATTTCAGTATGTGCCACATATTTTAAATATATTTTGCTGATTTCACAGTAATTGTTACTAGATTTATCAAGGAGTTCAAAATGAAAACATATTTTCAGTATCACAGTGCAAAAAGCTGTAAGATAAAAATGTCTTTCATTCCTGATATGAACACACTGTACAGTAAGTTTTATCATGTGATCTCCTGAGTGAGTTTTTATTCCTCAGCTGTAAAACATTGTTAACAATTAGAAGATGGATAAATATGGGCCAAAGTTTGTTTACATCGTTTCTGTTGGTAAAGATTCAAGCATGTACTAGATATATGCAAATTGATATTGGATTATGTGTAAAATTATGTGTGTTGTCATAACTGTTCTTACATGCTTGAAAGAATAAATCAAATCAAAATCAAATCACATCAAATCAAAGATAACAGTATTATAATTACATCCAGCTAAGAAGCAAACACAATGATAATTTATTTAAACTGTAATTCAAACTCTTCATTATGCATGTGAATATACAGTATGTGGCGAAAAGGAGAGATTTAAAGCATACTCAAAGCAAAGTTTTGAACATTTTTACTGTATGTGTGCTTAAAATATTCAAGACAAAGAAAAACTATGAAATAATCAAATGATTTGCGCTCTGAGTGGGTTGTGCTTGAAGACTCATTTTACTTTTTAAGTGTATGACATCTCAAAGCCCAATTAAGCAGAAGCGTCTCGCCAGTATCATCATCTTTATGCATCATCTTACAGTGGCACTAAGTTGATCTTCTTGCTCAAGTGCTTCTGGGAAAACAGGCCCCACTCATTTCATTAGTGCTCAGGCAGATACATTCTCGTGTCAAAATCAGGGTTTGTCTCTTCTGCTTCATGTTCACAGAGAGAGAAAAACTATGCATACTGGGCTTAATTTGAAAGCTGGCCCTGCAAAATAAAAAGCCTCTGCAGCAATGTATGATGACTAATCGAGGCAGAAGGGTTTGCCAAGAAATAACATGCTCAGGGATAGGCTGAACATGTCATTGTGGTTTGTATTTGTCACAGACATTTACAGTCAGTTTACACAGTTTTTATTCAATGTCATTGTCTCTGGCAGATTTTCTTAATACCTTAAAAATAATTATAATAAGGCTGACATTTTGGGACAGTATTAGTTTTCTTGGTGACAGATGAGAATACTGATACCACTCTCTTCAAGCAGCTGAACCAGAAGCCAGGAGTTAGTTAGCTTAGCTTAGCATAAAGTCTGGAAACAATGGGAAACAGCTAGTCTGCCTCTCTCTAAAAGTAACAAAATAATAAATAACATTTTTTTTAACCTTGTTGTGTCTTTGGCTGCAAGGCTAAGCTGACTGACGGCTGGCTCGAGCTACATATTTGACATACAGGCATGAGTGTACGGTATCAATCCTCTCATCTAACACTATAAAAAAGCAAAAAAAGGGGATTTCCTTTAAACTCATTTAAAAATACTTCCACACACTGTATAAGAAGATACTTAGGAGATATTATGAAGCAGGAAGTCACAGCTGCAGGTCACATACTAAAAGATGTAAAACAAAACTGATTATTGATTTTAAGATCTGTGGGATGGTTGAAAAATATCATATTGATTTTAAGATCTGTGGGATGGTTTAAAAATAGCACGTAATGTGATTTGTTTTTGGCTTCCACTGTTTGTGAGCATTTCCTCTATTTTCAGTATTCTGCCATATTTTCTTTCCTCTATTTTCAGTATTCTGCCATACTTTCTTCATTAGTGTTTCAGCTAAACAAGTTCAATTATTCAGATCTGATGTCTAATCATTTTTTAATTCATTCCATCTCAGTTGCCTCCTGGTTGCATTCATTCCAACATAATCCGCTTTATCAGGTATCAAAGCCATGTATTATGGGTGTTTTTACCACCATATTATACCAAAGTGTTGGTTGCATTAATGAGCTCATTTTGTTTTATGTTAACATGTTCACACCATTCACTCCGTTTCTTCTCAGCACCTGCTAGACGGTATTGTCATGTTGAGCCTTAGATCATCTATTATTTTCTAGGGACTATGTAAATCAGCTGTAGGTGTTAAATGGTAGAGAATATAAAATATATTTGTTCAGCTTTTTCCTTTTGTCAGGTTGCTGTGATCACGGTGATGGGGGTGAGAGGATTTGTCATCTGTTTGAACAGCAAATCTGCCCTCCTGGATAGTTTACTGTACGATAGCACCAAGTTTTTAATGCCATTCAATTATACATGACATTGTATATTTAGGACATGTTTTTGTTGGTCCACGATAAAAAAAAAGCTGAGGTGATTCTTTTTCTTTCTTTCTATTTTTTTTTTTATTATGTGCGTAGCTGCCCTTTGTTGGTAGCTCTGCATGCATAATTTTTCCTGACATATATACCGA